AGCTTTTCTGGATATAAATATAGGTGCCATCTAATATGGCAGTGGCTTTATCTCCAAAAAATGCTTCTGAAAAGACAGTATTGTGCCCGAGCAACTGTTCTCTTGTCAAGTGATCCGGACCTAGAAATTGTGGGACTATCGATGTGTCTAATGCCTGTACTATGGAGTGGAAAGTTTTGGACACACTTGACTTGGAAATTCCAAAAAGAGAAGAACACTGACTCCAGGAAATGTCGGTTTTCAGTTTTACCCAGAACAGTAATAGAGCATCGTGTGTAGTCTTGGTATATATACCAGATGAAAGATATGGGGAACAGTGCGAGTGGATTTCGAGGAACTGATCTTTGGACCAACCTGTCCAGGCCATGCATGCCGAGTCATCAAGAGAAGAAAAGCTTATTGTAAACGCAGACTGGTTCTGTGAAAGGACGTGCGACACCTCTAGGAGGTCATTAATGATTTCGGACGATTTTGATGGTAACTGAGATTCCAAGGAACCTCTACCATCAAGGACAACCTCTGTAGACGGATCTAAGTCGTTACCAATAAGGTGAATGGAGCAGACGCGGGATGAGGTGGGACACCACAGTTTGTGTGAATAGATCAGGTGATGTCTTGCACGTTTTGGTAAGACTGATGATTTTGTTCCATTTCTTGCAAAGGTAACAAGACAGAGACAGCATTTTTTGTGTGAAGATGATCCATTCAAAAGATCATGAAGGGTCAGCAACGGCAGGATATGGGACGGGGAGTCGTCTTCTTCCTCTATTTCCTGGTTCTGCTCGGGTTCAGGTTCAGGCTGATTTTTGTTCCGAAGATACTTCATGTAGCACTTCTGGCAAATAAGTGCTTGTTCCTTTGCTGACATCAATCCTTGTTGCACCAGCGTATCTAGGAGCCATTTATATTGTGGACTATTTACATTGCGTGCACTTCTGTTCTTATTGCCACTACGTTTCTTGAAGTATACTTGACACCCTTCTCCAACACATTTACCCTCCATCTTGAAACAATAACGATTGGTTTATGAAGCGTCGATAAAGTAACAAAATAGCAAGCCACCGATGATTGCTGTAAACAGCTAATACTTAGTAGTTTGGTACAATTATGCGAAAATGTGTGATAAATAACGAACAACTAATTACACAAAATAACAAGACAATATAATAAATCACATTCAATACCTCCAAGAAGCGCAGAATTGATTGATTACTTAGAACAAAATAAAGTATTTCATATGGATAATCTATCTATTCGATGTGGCGTGGTCGGCAGGCACAAAGAAAGTGAGACAAGTCAGGGTCCCAACCCTGACAGAGCCACAACGCTTTGGAGATGGGACAATAAAACAAGGAAAGTGAGACAAGAATAGCTAGCGTCGAGTCAATGATTCCGTAAACGTATAGACAAAGACAAGAAGATACGGATAAATGTACAAGGCCACACGATCAGAAAATTCAGAAGAGGACAACTTGAGATAGAACAGTATTCATGTATCAGGGTGTCCTCAGTGTAAATCTTTATATCGATACTGTTTATTTAGTCGTTACACATCATAAAACTGTCATGAAAATATCCGCTCTGATATTCAATATAAAAGTTTGTATATAATAAGCTCTATAATAGGGTTTTAGACAAGGTTGTTACTCATTTCCCTTTTTCTTTCAATTTACAACCACATTCAGGCGGCGATATGAGAACGTTCCTCCACATAGAATTAGCACATATGAAACAAGTAAAGCTGTATCCGATTTTCTGATGGAAATTTGCATCCAAAACTATATAACGGGAGAAAATTGCAATTTTATGGCATTTTTCTTCATAATTGTGTCTCTGCAAGTGCATTTTCATCCGAGATTCTTTTTTTGATGTTTTATGAATAAACACGATGTTTTGGAAATATTTATCAAAAGAAATTTATACTATGTTGCTATTGACAATTTCGAGATAACCTTCTTTTATTTGCGAACTTATGTCTTTGATGCTGAAATTGACAACTTTATAAAAAATACATTTTCACTGAAATTATGAAATCTGGGTGTCGGAAAGGTGTACAATTATTCTTCGGAAAAGAAAAAAACAGTAGTTGAGCTGGATAGGAAATTATACGGGGGCAGGCTCCTATGGAGAATTAACATTACTGGAAACAGGCCCTTTACCTGAGTTACGCTTAACGCTTACTTTTCCGAATAATTGGGTCTTCTTCTCCTTGTTCTTGTTCAGGGGTTTGTCCTTTTTTATGTGATTTTGAGTTCGAATTATGATTTTGTAAACACCTTGATATTATATTACTGTTTTTACGGATGAAACCGATATTTTAAGAGCATCCGCTATATTTTCTGATTCAACCGTACATTTTGGATTGTTTCAGACAGACATTAACAGTTAATACACAATTTACGAGATATTTTGATCACGTTTATGGCATATTTTTGACAAAAGGTGTGCCATATTCGTCATTTGATAAGAGGATACCCGAATGGTGTTGAGCATCAATTGAAAGCAGCAAGAAGGTATTTGCTTTAAATATCGTTTGGTTCCGTAGACTTATTACATTTCCGAAAGTTTGGACATATTTCCCGAAATAAAACAATATCTACCCCGCCATGCTTTCAACTGCAGTCTAATGATGTACCCCATTGAGGTTATGTTCCCCGGTGGAATCATCTTTTCCTGTAGCACCTGGTGGTCTACGATATCTAGCCCTCCACCACAATGTCGCGGGTTCGAGGCCTACTCCGTGCAGTCCCCAGACATTATCCGCAGTATAGTGTCTTTTCTCCGGGCACCACGGTTAACTTTCGCCTGCATATACCTACGCGTACATTTAAAGCTGTTTATAGATCGTAAAAACAAAACCACCTCCTCAAGAGTACTGTCCTCATTTTATTTACGCTATTATTGTGTACGCCTACATGTAATTATCATACAGATCTTGATAACAGGATCATTGGTTGGTAAAATAGCTGTAATATACAGCAATTGATCCTACAATCAACATGTCACGATAATTCACATCCCACACGTAATACAGAAAGATAGATTAAGGAAGTCTGTGCATCTCTTCATTCCTTTATTGTCAAATGCATGTTATCTGTCGAACATAGGACAATCCTGTCATTAAACATAGATTTCGTGGAATATTTAGGGGTCGATAGGTCGAGAGTTTAAACCAAATTTCATGTTCTAATCGCCAGTATAGACACGATAAACAACGTACTATCCCCATTATATCACACCTTAACAAATATACGACGCTAATATGTTTAGAAACATTGTATTTCCTTGTACGAAAGTACTGTATGAGCTGAACTGGCGACGTGTCATTCTGCAGCGGACTGACCAATCGGAAAGAAGCTTTTAAAAGTCGGTCATTTAGTCCCGCCCATACTGGCGAGAGCTCGATCTGTATGTTGACGAGGCGGACTATTTGGATTGTTCGTGAACGTCCTGTTTCCAAAGTTTATACGACACATTCGGTTTACTATTGAACAAGTTCAGTGGTGGATCCAGAGATCTATCTGGGGGAAAATTGAGGGAAATTGTGAAAATACATGATTTTTAAAGAAAATTATCAGAGTGGGGGTGTTTCCTGAAGCCCAAAAAACCCTATGGATCCGTCACTGAAGTTCATACATGTACATGTCAGTATGCATACCAATATGTGCTTATCGACAAAATCGGTGATTATTTGTATAGATTTGTGAAGAGTTTTGTGTAAATGCATACGACACATGTGAAATGTTTGATTTGATTTCTGATCTAAATAGATGCCTTCACACGGATGGAACGAACGTTTCAGTAATAAATGGATGTAAGAACAAGGAATGTGTTATTTTTAATTTGCAATTCATTCAACAAATGCATTTCATCGGTCGTTTCTGTTCTGTTGCCTACTAGCCTGTATCAGCGGGGTTTCGCTATGAGGCGAGCTTGACGCCATATTGTTCTGGTTAGAAACGGGGCGTGGCTTAAGTGCGATGGGAGGAGCTTAACAGGATTGATCATGATTCTATCGCAGATTAGAACATGGTCCGTATCCAATCAAAACACGCGTTGCCAACGAATCGTGTTAGAATAGTCATGTGTACGACCAAGTAGAATATGTTTTGTGTCATAATACATAAGCATTTCAAAATTGATGCTATAGTGCATAATTCAACCAAGAGCAGGAGGAATATTACGTTGTATTACAAAATACAATTTCCAAGTATGTTACATCACCATTGAACTAGGACTTATATAGCCTGCCAGTAAAGCAGACGTTGGTATAGATTGGATGTAGTTCATTTTCGTTTAACGTCCAATTAACAGCTAAGGTCATATAAGGATGTGCCTCCATGTGTGTCATGTATGTGTGCATGTGTGCTGGGGGCAAGGCATGCTGGTGTAATTTCCGTGTTGTGGCAGCGCGGATCAAATGCCGACTTTATAGTGCTATCTCACTGAAATACCATTACACCAAATGCTTACTGTGCAGATGTCGGAGATGGTTATGATATGATCTTAGTCGTCTTAATCGGAGGAAAGATAACTAGCCTGAAAACATGCATCTTACGTATTTGCTATTGACATGTTTTTATGTGATTCTAACTTCAGTTTAAAGTTCTATTTAAATATTGCTAATTTGGCCATGATGAACACTTTCTTTAAATTAAAACAGTCATGATATCCAGCTTGTTTTAATCAATACCACTAATGTATTTGTCAGGACCTTTTTTTTACCTTCGACATTAAATTACAAAATGCAAATCATGTACGCTTAATATTTCAAACTAGCCAGAAAATCTCTGCGATAAAAATATAAATAAACACTCACTAACACTGTTTACAACAATGAGGCAAGACGGATTATTTTGATAAACTGCCACAGCTCATAATGTACGATGTAATCGCTTTGACATTCATGTACATATGAAGTCCTGCCGACGTTGATTAGACTTAATGATGATGTGCCATCGCAATTTGTGTGATTCACTAAAATTAACACAACATATATATGCATGTACATCTGTCTCTCTAGTTTGTTGATATTGCCGTATTCAGGATGGATCTAGCTGCATGGTTCCTACTGATTTGGTTTGCTGTCTTTACTTTCAGAGGTAAGACCGATATTCCGATAACGCATATTTTGTGCTGTCGTTTTTCATCTGCCTATCACAAGAAATACTACACAATTGTATGTGTTATACATATAAATCACATGTTTTTTTTTGTTGAGCATCCTATTAACAGCTAAGGTCATTTAAGGACGAGCCTCCATGTGTGTTGTGTATGCGTGCATGTGTGTATGTGTCTTGGAGACAGGGTATGTTGTTGTACATGCCTTTTTGTTATATTTGCTGATGAGCCGTCAAAACAGATGTCAATTAATTGGTTTGGTTTATTTGTTTTTTTAACGTCTTTTTAAACAGCGAATGTCGTTTAAGGACTTACCGCCATGTTTGTATGGGTGCTGTAGGCAGGGTAAGATACAATGGTGGGGCAAAATAGCAACATCGTCTTGGATGCAGTTCGAAAAATTAGCACCTGTATAATAATAATGTTTCAGACACAGATCTATGTAAATGTGAGCAGGTGGAAACTTCTTCCCATTATTTGATGCAGTGTAGGCTCTTTAACCAAGCTAGAGTGAACACCGTAGGTACTTTAAGTATTTATCTGATACCAGAACGGTTAATTAAAAGTGATCTAAATCTGTCTTAAGATGATAACATATTTAAGTTGAATAAGATACAAAGGTACATTTTAGAGTTGGGTAGATTCTAGGTGCCAATTGGGATCTGTTCTTGCTCTCTTTATTACTGATTCATTTCTTTTATCATAACTACCTATGAATCACATAAAATGGTCAGTGTTATCACAAACTGTTAATTTAAACAATTTATGTGTATCAATTAACTGTAAGTTGAAGTACTTTTTTAATGCTATCACATTGCAAGGGAGATTGCTTTATATAATATTTACAAGCTTGTTGCCAGATTCTATTTCTATTTACCTGTGCACGTATTATATATGACGAATGAAATAAAATACTGTTAAACCAAAATAGGTTGAAACCAAAACATCACAAATAAAATTGATATGGTGTTTTGAGTTATAATGTATACACATGAGATGATTGTGACCTTACTCAACCTGACGATTTCATTTGTTTTGGGTGTATGTCCCCACTACATCTATTAAAGGTCATATCAATCCCCGGATGATGGGGCAGCTTTTTCACTCTCATACTACAGAAATGTTACAGCCTCGATATGGTAACGTGATATTCTACTTGGTCACATTATACTGATAACACACTAACCAGTCCATACCGCCATCCATTTAAATCTGAATGTCAAGCAAAGAGCAGGGAGAAACAACGTAAACTAATACGGTTGTCTAGGCCAGGACATTTTGTCGGTGAAGGTTATACGAAACGAAGATGGTTAAAAAATAAGAATTAAAAATCAATACAGTGGATGTAACAGTAATATTTTGGCCGCTCTTGTGTCAGTTGGTACATATGCATTGTAACAATGTGTATACTATTTTCTCTTCTTTCTATTTTTATATCATATTCTTGTTTCTGATTCTAGACATCGTGGTCTTTGTAACCATTGCTATAAAGCACCGGGTGTTCGTGTTGTTAAATGTCGTAATATCTTTGCGAACAAGATATAAATATTGTTATTTCATAAATCATAAAACAGCAAAATTATTTTTCTACATTCGAAAAACTATTAAACTAACGAAAACATACAATTTTGCAATATTTTCGTTGATTTAAATTCTGCTAGAAAATTCATCCCCGACAAATACATGGAGCAAATTGATAAAATAAAGTTTGTTTCTTTCTGCTTATCTACACTTTTTGCACAGAAAATCCATTCATGCTCATACTATTACAAATAATAAGAATATAATCAGAGATACCAAATGTTAAGCCGTATCATGACAATAATATACACCATCATCTGGAGACCGTATTAAGAGGTCACACCATGCTAAATACTGTCTAACAGCATATCAGAACCCAGATCTGTATCGGCCTCACGTTCCCGACACGCACGCTGTTACAGTGCCTGTTTGCTATAAATATTTAAAGCAGCAATTAGTACATGCTGTTTGTTAAAGGTCGGTATTTTTATCATATACTGACTTTCTGACATTTACTCTGAAACCCTATGAGGGATTCAAAGGTACATCTCCATGTTAATAGTTATAATAATTTACATATTTTGGTTTAATCACAGATAATTCGCTGTATGATGTCCTAAATATTTGACCATAGCATTTTCCTAACATGTTTTAAATATATAAAATAACGTTTTAAAAAGCAAAATTGGTTGCCAGACATTTGGATGATGTCTATTAAAAGCTGATTTCGAAACTGGAGCCTTGCGTTAATTAGCGTCGTGAATGTATATGTACATTGTAATAGGATCATACGGGGCTGGCTGGCTGGCGGTGAAGGGGTGTTCTAGCTAAAATAACAGAACTATTTGCATTCGGTTTGCTCTAGTTCGTCTGTTTATTTCATTTTATAAGTTAGGCTACTAATTATAATTAGCCAATTGTCATGACGTTTTATTCGGAAACATATATATATATATATAGCAAGCGAGATTGAATGTGCTATTATCCTTAACAAAAATATTTGCTTGTATACCACATGGTGTATAGGTGTTATAATGACATAACAACGTCACTTATGGTTCAGCATTTTTTTTTTTTTTTTGCATCTGTTTGAAATCTGTTTACGATGAAACGTTCTAAACGAAGAGTATTCTAAAGATCACTGTCTCTTTGTAGAACTATTACGAAATATTTGCTCGATAGGTTTTCGTAAATATAGTAATCGTGCGTTTATGTCAGTTGGATGTATCTGTAGTTTCACCGAGGCAAACTACGCGTAGCTGAATTGGATAGAGATGTGGTTTAAAAGTAGGACGTCGGCGGTTCGATTAGTTTGCCAAATCAATTTACTTTTGTATACCAAGAATACTCCTTTTGATTAGTTTGTCATCTCGCTTAAATTTCTTTCCATAAAAAGTTCCCTGCATACAAATATAATCATTCTTGAAAATAATTTTCAATGCATATTTACAGTTTTTGGTAGAAGTACTGGGATTCTCAAGCAGAAAACATTATGAAATACAGTAGTTGTTTTTGTTCAGACGAATAGACTTTTTAAATTTTGAAATACATAGTAAACGTCTTATTATCTTGCAGTTGAAGGGGCACGATGGATGAACGTAGACGAAGCAGTAAGCAGAAACGTCTTAGAGCTGGAGAGGAAGAACGAGAAGCGATCTTTAGTTGATACAACACCAGGGGAAATTATCCAAATAGAACGAGACACCGAACTCATAGAAAATGACGTAGTCACTACCATAGATGGGACAAACGTCACCCGGTATTACGAAACATTTCATGGAATCCCCGTATACGACACCGTTGCTTCAATTGAAGTCGATAGTGAGCATGGCACATACACTGGACAGGCATCTGGGCAACTGCTTCAAGACATACAAAATGACGTCATATCTGTTATCCCAACTCTGAATGAAGACGAGGCTCTCAGCCTTGCAAAACATTTCTTTGGTGGTGTGGTCGATGAATACAGTAATGAGAAAATTGAGCTGGTGATTTATCCAGTATCAAATGTTGCAACACTAGCGTACAAGATATCATATATAGCGTTCGAGAAAGGAAAAATTGCAAGACGCCTTTTCATTATCAACGCAAATTCTGGAACACTTTTAAAAGAATTGAACTTACTTCCGTCCTTTCAGGTAAAAGCCACTGGCGGCAATACAAAAATAGGAAAATTAGAATACGGTAACTCTATGCCATTCCTAGAAGTCAGGGGAAATGATGGACAGTGTATTTTAGCAAATAGTAGGGTAAAAGTTTACGATCTCAAGCATGGCAAAAAAACAAAAAAGGGAGATCATCCGTACACATTTGATTGTCGAAACGGAATTGCCGACGAGAAAAATGGTGCTTACTCTCCTCTCAGTGACGCTTTCTTTTACGCTGATAGAGTTTTCAAAATGTACGAAGAGTTTGTGCACGCGCCAGTTATAAAGGAACAGCCCGTACAACTTTGGGTTCATTACGGTGAAGACGCTGTCGTTGCACAATTTTCCGGTCCGATGCTTATGTTTGGAGATGGTCGAAAGAACCTGTTCTATCCGATGGTTTCCGCGGACGTCGTAGGTCACGAGTTGACCCATGGATTCATAGAGGAACATTCTGGGCTCGAATACAGTGGTCAGTCTGGGGCGCTGGACGAGTCATTTGCGGACATCGCTGGAGAAGCGGCCGAAGAATTCATCTTTGGGAAACATGATTACAAATCTGGCGAGGACATCTCCATGGGGTACAAAGTTCGTGAGATATGTAATCCAGAAGCTGACGGTCGGTCAATTGACCATGTCCGGGATTACAGCGACGACTTGGATGTCCACTTCACGAGTGGTGTTGTCAATAAAGCCGCGTGTTTGCTGTCCAAAGCCGATGATTTCGATATTATGAAAGTGTTCCAGATATTCGCTCATGCAAATCGTTTTTATTGGCATCCTACAACAAACTTCAGCGCGGCCGCTTGTGGGATTGCAAAGGCAGCTTATGATCTCGGTCATTACACTGATGATATTTCAGTTGCTTTTGAAAAGGTCGGTATCGAAGTTTGCGCAATGGATAACTATACGCGAACCCTTCATACTGATGCAACCATCAAGCGCCTTCAGGCAAAAGGTGACGAAAAGATTGTGTTCAAGTTTAATATTAAGGTGGGGAAAAGTTTCATGGTTTATACCATGAATGGAGACGGCGATGTTGACGTTACCGTAGATGCAAAACGGAAACTAAGGGGAGCAAAACCCATGTATTCTTCTAAATCCAAGGGGAATTTAGAAATGATAAACATTGATTTAAACTTTATGAGAAAGGGCTACATTACTTTGAAACCAAAAAAGAAATCAATGTTTTCTGGTGTAAAGTTCAGCGTACGCATTAAGAACTGAGTATTGTATATTGCATTATAATGTAATCTTTTTCCAAATGATATATTTCAGATAAGCAATCATTATGAACAATCCCTTATATGTGTGATTAAAACTGTTATATAGCAGTGCATATTTCATTTAGAGATAAGATAATATAATAATTGGTTTGAATAAAAAAAATACTCTGAAGATTTGTATGTTTTTGTTTTTATTTGGCTTTTTTCTTATCTTCTTTTTCTTGTATTTCTGTACAGTTCTCAATGGCCGCTATTCTGGACCGAGCATTATGATTTTGAAAGCTACAACAAAAAACAATGAATACTTACAGCTGTATATGACGGTTGAACGAAAGGACAATTGTGTTTTCGTTCATATCTAAATCAAATTAACGTTACCTTCATTGTTTAAACTTAACGCCACAGTCCAAAATTAACCCAATCTACTCTTTAAAGTGTGGATTGTCCCTGGCAATATCTCGTAACACATGAACATTTGTTACACTTTTTAAAACATCCGAACCAAACCCTTTTGCAAATATCGTGCTATGGATATGCGAACATAAATCTTGCCAATATCCTCATTGGATATTAACAAGTAATCATCTAAAAATGTTGACATTGGTATAATTAAGGGGTTTCATGAATCTCCCCATCTGTTTCACCTGTAACTAAGACCAGTTTGGATTTCTACCTTTTTTCCCTTAAGAGAAAAACAGCTGTATATGTTACAAACGTGTATAGGTGTTATCTCATGTGTGTGAGTAACGTTCATATTGCATGCACTTGTATAAATATCGATTGCATTTACGCAACGCAAATAAGCAGTGAAAACGCATTGATTGATACATATATTAAAAAGGAAAATAATGGAAGGGAGATAACTCTAGCGTAATACGATTTTGTCATATCTTGAACACACAGAAATGATAGGTAACCTGTTCCGTCAACGACATGCAGAAGTGGTTAATGTACATAAACAGCCTTATTTTTTATCAAAATATTAGTAATACAACCTCATATAAGTAATTACTGGTATCTTATATCATTTCACTGGTATGATCCCAATCAACATGTTATGTACTAAAACATAAGCCAGGTCGATGTTATTTCTTAATCCACTTCAAACTCACATACAGCAATGTGTTACTTTTTGCAGATTGTGAATATCCACAACTCCGGTTCAAATTGGTTCTCTTTTTGATAAAGACTCGGTGAGTAAAAAAAACTCCGTGTTAAGGAAAGATAGAAAAAAGCCAAAAAAGCCTTCATATTAAAATATGTTTTGATCCTGTATTCACTGCGTGCAAACTATACAGCCTATTGTGTTGATGTGCAGTTGGGTTTGTGTACATACTTGTATAGTGTTATGTCATTCAAAGACGGTTTCCAAGCGGTAGGCCTACTCGATAGCAGTTTAAAAGTGTGATGCCATCGAAATGCCATAACCTGGAACCAGTAGCATGATGCAAGGAATCAAATTATAATCATTCAAATTTGAACACCAAAGTATCAATTTTTTGTACTAGTTTGAATCGGTCAGTGACATAACCCTGAATTTCTTTGGGATTAAATGACCGAATTAAAATAGAAATTAGCACGAAGAAGTAAAATAAGAACGAAGATACAAAACAATCACAATGAGTACTTGTTTTATTGCATAAACACTAGAAAGCATTTGTTTTGTTGCATGTCTTCGCACCAGCCATGATCATGTGAGTACGGGTGTTTAATGAGACATTTTCAGAAGGATACAGTTTTTTTTTATTTGTATTTGTTTTATTTTAAGGCTTTTTTATACAATGCATTTGTAATAGCTGAAAATCTCACACACACACTAATCTCGCTTCCACTTTCACACAAACAATTATTGATTGTCATTTTAATACATTTTTCGAATGTTTACATTTACATTGCATTTTTTAAGCAAAGCAGAAAAGGAAAGGTTAATAAAAAGAAAAATAGACAGAGAATGATTTTTTTTTTAAAAAAGCAGGACAAAATTTGACAGACTGAGAGAGAGAGAGAGAGATACAGAGAGAGAGAGAGTGAGAGAGATGTCAGGCAATCAGTAGTAACTATCTGTATGTCTATATGTATGACTAGCAAAGGAAAACAGGAGGGAGTAAAGAGCATGTGTTGTCAGCTGCAGATGTCAATGTATGTATAGTAATAGCTAAATAAAATATGTTGATGTATTATGTCAATAAAAATGGATACAAAACAACTCATATACTAGTGACCAATAATATTACATTATTATAGCTGTAAACAGTATTCTTAAAATAAAGTTCAGCAAATTAAAGATTTAGGAGATATTAAATAACTTTTAACTTAAAAATGTTATTGTATTTGTCAGCTTTACCTGTTGCAATATATTTTTCTGTAGTATAGTTGTCATGGATTGCTTTTTAAAGACCATTTATAGATAAATTTGTTTGTAGGCATCTTGCTGAATAAATATATTGTTTTATAATCAAAATAATTGTACTATCTATTGGTGTTCTTATTCCATCTTGATTATGTAGTCCAACGCTAAAAGTCTCCTTATTGTAAGCAAAGGGATCATTTAAGAATCTGATAAAAAGTCAAAATTTTGTAACATAACCTGCACCTTAACACATTCCCATAGGGCATGTTCTATTGTTTCAATATCAGTTTTACATAAGATACAATAAGGACTATCAGCTATTCCTGCCTTAAAAAAGAATGAGTTTGTTGTCAAAATGTGTTGATTGATTCTGTATTGAAGTCACTGTAATTTTGAATTTTTGGTTATATGAAAAGGCATTTTATATATTTTCCTCCATGTTTCATTATCAAAATTAAAAATATCATCCCATTTTTTTCTTCCAGTGGATTTTGTATTATTTTTATTGAGTAAATAATAAAAATCTTGTGTCCCATTTTTACTGCGGAAAAGTATTTCTAGATCAATTGGTATGAAAGGATAGATAGGACATTGTAAATCTTGTTTCTGTATATGTTTTCGAATAACTGAAATAAGTCCTTGGTAATTAGGAAAGTTTGTATTTATACTAAAGACCTGTTGATATTCCTGAAAAGAGTAAAACATATCAGTGTCTTTATTGATTAAGTTTATCCATGCTTTAAAAAACATCTTTCCAAAAAAAAAGAAAAGAAAAAAATAAGAAGGATAAAGTTGGAAAAACAAAGACATGTTTGGTTTTGAAGGGTTAAACGTCCTATCAATAGCTAAGGTCATTTAAGGACGCACCACCATACGTGTGGTGTATTCGTGCATGTGTGCTGGAGGCAGGGTGTGTTGGTGTGATTGTCTCCTTGTGATAGCCGGGATCCGATGCCGACTTTTTAGTGCTATGTCACTGAAAAACTATGCCAAAGGCACCCAACACAGCATTCCGCCTTGTCACATGATATTGAAAATGATGGAACCAGGTGTTGCCATTACCCGCAATGATGAACGTTAAGCAGGGTTTAACAACTACCATTTATATGGACTTTAGTATGTCCCGGCTTGTGGACACAACCCATTGACTTTTTTTACTTCACCCCTGCAGGTCGACCACGGCATGTATCGTAAGAGGCGACTAATGCTTAACCCCCCCTGCATAATTGGGGATTTGCTTTTGTGCTCTGTATCAGGGGACAAAAAATAAATCTGCTGCACCCATTGCAATATTTGGGATGTTTTTGTTTCCTTCTCCTTTAAACTACCTTTTATTTCAAATTTTGGCTTTAATGTTGAACGTTTTCCCAGGTGAGCGAGACAATGGATTCCGTCCCCAGGTCGGGACATACCAAAACATGCTAATTGTAAAGTAGACACTGAAGAAAAATATCAAATTCTGGGGGGGGGGGGGGGGGGATTGAAACCTGTTTTATCAGACATCAACTGAGACCCACTCACCTCGGTTTGATTAAACGTCAATCGCTATGCAAATGCTTATTTGATATCGTGGTCATATATTGCATTATAGACAGCATGTTGGAATACCATAATATCGAATAAAAGGAGTCATCATTTAGTCTCCTGTAAACGCACTTATAATAACTCACACAATAACTTGAAACACATTATCAAAGGTTATCAGATAAGCACATTGATAAATTTGCTTACAAACAATGTATGCAAAAGAACAAAGTATACATAAACTTCATCCATCGCAGTCATTAAAGTTCAGATAGCGTTTAAATAAGATAACCGCTAAATTATGTACTTTAACAGTATAACTATCGTTTTGCTTACCATTGCAGATCGATCACGGTATTAAACCACGTGATAAAGCGTTACATCGTGGTCACATGACAGTCATCTGACAGTACCCTGTTATCAGCTATAAAGATAGGTGTGAGCTTTGAGTCCCGTACCGTTGTCGGAAGATCCTCTATTGAACAAGGTAAGGTGAATTAATCGCTCGCTGTTTCATTGATAATGGTAAATGCATCACCAGCAAACAAGCTGATCAAAGTGTGAATGCTTCATTTGTCTTCATATAGTTCTTCGTTTGCACGATATATTTCAAACCATGCACCCTTCTCTCGTCAAAATCATAAGTTATTGAAACTTTAAGAGTTTATATAGGGTTAAGTTAAGAATGACGAAAAAGGACTTTTTTTTCAATTTTGCTATTTTTGGTAAAAACATCAATTTCTTTCAATATCTGATATTAACAAGGTGAAACAATGGAATTGATTTTCCCGGAACGTTGTTTTATTCTAAGAAAAAACTAATTATTATTAAAGTAATATTAGTAAGTTCAGTTTAATATCTCTGTTATTGTTTGATGCGCGGGTCATAGGTGGAACATTGCGTTAAGTATCACAGTGATATTCTAGATTGGTAACTGTATTGTCATACTAAAAATGCTTTGCCCCAAATAAGTTAAACTATTTCGCAAAATCTACAGCAGATTGGCGTTGTCCTGTTGAATACAAATATGTCATGACGAATAAGAGCATATATAAATAAATCAGTTTAATTTTACCGGATAAGACTTTAGGATGTTTCATTAGCAAAAAATATAATTGTGCATGCTACTGAATGTCTAGCAAAACTGAACTTTATCCTGTATAACATAAACATACTTTAATATGCACATGCACAACACAACTTGCTCTTCCACATTTCCCAAATAAAAATAAACAGGTGAAATAACCATTAATGTCCTTTCGATCGCCGCTCTCGCTATGTTGGTGATAGCACATTATTTATCAAATACGACAGCAAGGCAGACAACGAAGCTATTTTAAACTTTAGATTTGACCTAGTTTAGAGCGCCATGGCCATTGAACAACCGCCATCGCTGATAACACTGAATATAGTTCATACAAGGTCAATATAATCACTCTCGTGGTCTCCATATCTACGACAACAAGATTAGGATGATAATGTACGTTGCTGGCCTTAAGCTCACGAACATTCCATAACGCAAGTAAATAAGATTTTCTGAAGTTGGGATAGAATTACTGATTTTAAGGTACTCCCCGATATTTGTTTCAAGATTTACACCCAAGCTAATTATTGCTTACAAGAGTTGAGCTAGGAAACTTTCCCCGCATAATGAAATAGTTAAACATATCATATTGTCTAAACGCTAGGACAATGCTAGCTAGCATCCGAAGATGGTTGTTGAGGGGCTCTGATGTACTGTTATGACAGACAATCCACGTGACTAGCAACCTGTTTTGTATACCTACAACTTCATTCGAATCTCTATAAATGTCTATAAAAGATTTATTTTGGCAACTTTTTTCATTTCATGATTCAGGATTCTTGTACCACTGCCAAAAAATTATGAAATTATGCATTCCAAAATTATGGTTATCGGAATGACTTTAGCTTGTATAAATCATTTCATGAAAAAAAGTATACCTCTAGACTAAGATGAAATGAATAAAAGTCATCAACAAATGTGTTCTGCTGAAAAAAATATTTCTGCACAGCCAGTCCAGAATTTGAACCCTGAACTTCAGTTTATTATACTATCTCTGAAACCGGTTAAGCTATTTTGTCAACGGAAGTGTACTAGCTTAAATGTGCTGGAGTTATGTCCAAACGGAAGTTAAGGGGACGTAGCTGTATATAGGAAAACCGACTGTGCAGTAGGGCAGGGATCCTAAATGAGTGAAACTGTATTTTCTTTCTTTACAGATGTACAAACTCATACTGGTAGCGGCTCTGGTGGCCTTGTGTACGGCCATCCGAACAGAGCTGGACGTTGAATGGGAGGTGTACAAAATACAGTTCAGCAAGCCTTACCTCCCGGAGGAGGAGGCTAAGAGGTAGGATATGCAACATGTGATTTTGGCATACAAATAAAGCACACTTTAGATGCTTGCCCCATTGCAAATAATGGGTGATCTGCATATCTTTTACCATTTCTGTAATCTTTGTTTTCTGTAAATATATTTTTCATGTACTTATTCTTTCTTTTCGGTGTTGTCTTTCTAGACTCCCGTCTTCAATTGACTTATGTTGTTATAATAACTTTTAGCCTAAAACATTGGTTGGTTGGACAGGGTTTAGCGTCCTAGCAGCAGTGAGCTAATGTCATTTAAGAAGGTGCTTCTATGTGTGTATGTGAGCTGGAGGCAGGGTATGTTGTCGTTTTTAACTCCTTGTGATAGGCTCTGAAGCCTCAAAGAAATCAAAAAGAAGTAATACTTATGATACAAACCTGATGCAAACATAAAAATAAATTAGTACAGTATGTCCTATGAACTGATTACAGGAGAGTAATCTGGGAGAATAACCTTGATTACATCCAGAAGCACAACCTTGCAGCCGACAGGGGAGAACACACCTTCTGGCTCGGCATGAACGAGTACGGAGACATGGTAAGGTATATTTTTTTTATTAGAATCGCTTCTAATTGCTCGCGTATATGGAATGCAATTAAAACGAGTATATCCCGATACCTTAACAAATGAGGTTGGTTATCAGTGTTTAACGTCCAACAGCTAAGGTCATTTCAGCACGTGCCTCTTTGTGTGTTGTGTGCGTGCATGTGTGTACATGCACGTGTGCTAGATGCAGGGTAGGTTTGTGTTTGCTACATTGTCATAGCGCAGATCTGATGCCGACTTTACATTGTTTTCACACAGAACTACCATGCCGATGGCAACAAGCATAGCATTCCATCCGGTCACATTATACTGAAAACGGGTTAACCAGTCGAACCCGACACCTTTTCCACAATGGTGGAATTGCTTTACATTTCGCGTTGAGTAAATTAGAGCGAAACTATGCTTCTCCACATAGGAATGTCAATTCAGACGAACGTCTAACATTCCTTGACAAATCTCTAGCATCATCATCTATGTGCTCTGACACTGTGTGTCATCTAATTAATTTGCTAAATCTCTAAGATTTTCTAATTACAAGGATTCACTGTACGTTCAATTTGAAAAAGTGTCTTTGTGAAAAGTTTGCATTTTAGAATCCTTGTCAAAATAGAGGCAAAACACTGGATAATTCCTCAGCTGGCTGTAGTACACCAGTAACCTCCGCTGTTTTTTATGTTTGAGCGACTGGGCAAAGGTACTAAAGTTGACCATATATCTCAGCTGCTTAGAGTGTCAATGTTGTCATCGAAGGTCCGGGTTTCGAATCAATCTCAGGCAATAGTGTACTTACAATAATAATTCTATATTTATCAATTTTGAAAAAAAAGAACCACGGGCTAAGTTCATAACATCTTCTATTAATATATGCATTTTTTATCATTTCCAGACAAACGAAGAGTTCGTGAAGACAATGAACGGTTACCGCATGAGGACCACCACCGTGAATGCTCCTACCTACATGCGTCCTTTAAATGTTGGTGATCTTCCAGCCACCGTTGACTGGCGTACAAAAGGATTTGTGACCCCCGTCAAAAACCAGGTTGGTTCATTGCAATGGATGGTGCATCTCTGTGTACTTTTGTTTGTTCAGGATATTTTGTCAACATTGTCTCTTTCTGTTCCTTATATGTACACTTTGTTCACGTATGTACAGGTACTGGTACCTTCTTTTTGCACATCAGTCTTCATTGGCATTCCTTAGTATTTGGTTTTGTGGTGTTTAACGTCCAATAAATAGCTTAGGTGTTTTCAGGACGTGCCTCCATGTGTGTTGTGTAAGCATGCATGCATGCATGCATGCACGTATGTATGTTTGCTTCGTATGGGGTATGTTGGTGTACTTAGTGATTTTTGTACATAAACGCATTATGTACATGTACATGTGACTCTGTATTTGTTTTCATGTGTTAGTATAAATGGCTCGCCAATGTTAGTATTTTGATGCGTCGTATCTCTTATGTTCTTGTATTACGTTTATCAGATGTTTATACATTCTAGTTTTGAACTCAATATAAAACGCCCTCGCGTAGGTAAACATAAAAAAATATCACATTTCACGGTATTTTTTGACTAATATTTTTTACTTGCTATGCTATACATTTTCTTAACATCGTAACGTTATGCTATATTTTTGATGACGTCACAATGTCTACTACAGGGTCAGTGCGGTTCATGCTGGGCATTCTCCACAACAGGTTCCCTGGAGGGACAGCACTTCAAAGCCAACAAGACTCTGCCGTCACTGTCGGAACAGAATCTGGTGGATTGCTCCAAACCACAAGGTATAACTTTTTCAATTAACTACATAAGGAAGTTCAGTTTTATAAATTTGATAATACATTTCATCGGGATTACACTTTTTTTTCAACTTCCGTGTCATTATGAACGCAAATAAGAAGTGTAAAATCATAAATTTTCGTGGGACATTAAATTTTGTTTATTTCGTGGATAACAAAATTCCAAGAAATTGACTCCCCACGAAAACATACATTTGGTATGATATAGAAATATAGAAATATAATGTCCTTGAAACAGGTTAGCATATGAAAACCACGAAACTTTAACCCCACGAAAATAAAGGATTCTACAGTAATATGTTAACTCCATGAACTCCACTCCAAATAACTGTTCGCTCCACAGATCTGATCCGATTAAATCGCCAGTCCAGACATTCTCATGAACTTTCCTTCCAAACACATTTCTGCAAAACCTCTGTTAGAAAAGAAAACTTCTTTTCGAGAAAATTGCATCAATGGAATGCCCTACCCCTGACTTGGCGATCACCCTATCTCCCTTTAAATAAGCTGTCAACTGTTGAACATATAACTTATCGTTTTATCCCCAAGCCATGCAATGCCTATTATAACTTGCATAACCTTCATTTTTTTAATTAGGCCAGAAACCAGTAGCACTAGAACTAAAACACTAGGGGTTCACGAACATTATTAATAAAACGGATGTGAGCTGCTAACTCTGAATTGAAACCGAATCAGTTCAACCTACTATGTATGTGTTCATGTATAATGCATTTATATTGATTGAAATATGCTTGTTCATTACACTGTATCAGAGTGCAAATGACTTCAATTAAACGTTTGACTCTGAAGAAAGTTTTTTTTTGTTATATAAGGCGGGTTAAGCGTTAAAATGACACGGATCGAATTGCGTTTTTAATGGCGATGGATCATGATCTCTTTAGTTATATTTATTCATGAACTTTATATCAAATCAGTTCAACATACTATTCATGTATGCATGTAATTATATTGATTAGAATATAAGAAGTTCATTACACAGCGTCAGTTTGATGAGTGCAAAAGACGTCAACTAAACGTTTGTCTCTGAAGATTTGTTTTTGTTATGTAAGGCGGGTTAAGCGTCAAAATGACACTGATCGAATTGCGTTTTTTTTGTGTCAAATGATCGAGATCTCTTGTTGTACGTTTATTCATGACATTGCTGCCAATTGATTTTCGCTGGCGTGTTACTAATTACAAATGAATAAATAAATAAAATCATCAAATTCAGTTGTGCTTTAAACTATTTCATTTCAAAATAAAAGCTGAATATTAACAATAATTATTTTTAATGATATATAAGTTTTACAAAAATAATAGTGTCCTTTACTTGATGATTCCACAGGTAACCAGGGTTGTGAAGGCGGTTTGATGGACCAGGCATTCAAATACATTAAGGACAACAATGGAATCGATACCGAGGCATCATACCCCTACAAAGGAGTGGTTAGTATCATGTTTTTGTTCTATTTTTAGCTTAAATTCACTTTAATTTGGTTTGTTTTTATAGGATTTGACATCCTATCAACATTTAAGTTCAATAAAGGACGTACATGAACCTCAATGTGTGTTGTGTGAGCATACATGTGTGCTTAACGCAGGGTATGTTGGTGTAATTGCCTCCATGTGATAGCGCGAATCTGATGGTAACTTACTTTTTTAAACATCTAAGGTCATATATAAGACGAGTGTCTACAGAGAAAACGTCGAGCACAAAAAGGTCCTACGTTTCGCAAAGGGGTCATCGGATTAGGTTTCGTTCATTTTCCCTTAGGAGAAGATATGAGAACACGTCCCTTCTCTCCCCCCTTTGATCGTACAAGAGGCCCCGTATAAGTCACCTCCTACGATAATCTGTTGTGGGATGCTTCCATGTAGGAATGCTATCGGACATGGCGTATCCTTCTGTTAGAAGAACCCCGAAGATTGGCTACACGATAAATCCATGTCTGTGTATGCTTTCACTCGGGGAACATCATTTAGACATACAGCCTCTCTATGATACCTGTGCAGTGGTATTCATTTCGGGCTATCGATATGCCATACAGACACTTTCAGACATTACATCGATTTAGCGAATTATTCTTGAACGATTTTTCTTTGAATAATTTAGAAAATGGGGTTTCCTGTCCACCTTATGTTTTAACTATAAGAAACACACATACTCCATTTAAATGCTATACATGTCAAACCGAGCAGAAACAGCAAACGCAATACGCAATAGTAATTATTTCAATCTTCAAATGTGCATTATGATATATGGAGATAAAATATTTTGAATACAACAATAAACTCCCCTTTAATTTCACAAAAAGTACGTACCATGATCTAATATCTTAAACCTTTGACAAAGTACAGTTTAATTTGATTCTCATAGAATGGCAAGTGCGCATTTACGCCAGCTAATGTTGGAGCAACAGACACTGGATTCGTTGACGTCAAGACCAAGAGCGAGTCAGATCTGCAAAGCGCCGTTGCTACTGTTGGACCTATCAGCGTTGCCATAGATGCCAGTCACATGAGTTTCCAATTATACAGAACTGGAGTGTACCACTCACTCTTCTGCAGCGAGACCCGACTGGACCATGGTGTGTTGGCCGTTGGATACGGAACAGAGGACAGCAAGGACTATTGGCTAGTCAAGAACAGGTCAGTTATAAAAGATAAATAGGTTTTGTGTTGTTTAGTGTTTTGGAATAAGCGTCCCGTTAACAGCTAAGGCCTTGTGGATTTGCTGTCAATACCTGAATACTCGAAGTGAGGGCGTGATATTACTTTTATTCGACCTAGATCAGACCTATGTTTTCAATGCAGCAGGAGGCGCTTAGTCTTCCGGAACACCTTGCCTTATTATCTTTGTACTTTTTCCAAAATATATCCGTGTATGCTTTTTCCTTTGTTCATATAATTTATTTTAGCTTGTAAGTTTGAATTATGATTTTGTTGACACATCGGTATTATCTCAATTTTCAATTTCCAATTTCAATGTACTGCCTCGCTGAAATAATACTTATGCATATTACTTTCATTTGATTTTAAGCATTACCTATTATTATAGACCGCACGGTTGTAGCTACATACATGTATGCCACTTGTAGTTAATAATAAACACCCATATAATACATAAGTTTTTGATGTTTTCACCAGGAATGTATTAACTAGTTTGCCTATCCGTTTCGTGTACCTCATTCCCCGATTTATTAGTTGTTCTATCGTTTAAGTTATCACTTTCATTTTCAATGTAAGCCAGGTTTGAAGACATGTGCATGGATTATTCTGATAATGGTTATTAATACGTATAAGTATGACATTTTTTTGCTGTTTCTTTTTGCAGCTGGGGAGCATCATGGGGCGAGAAAGGATACATCAAAATGTCTAGGAACAGACGTAACAACTGTGGTATCGCTACTCAAGCCAGCTACCCAACAGTATAGGTTAATTCCTTTAGATATAGTTCATCAACTGATACAGACAATTGGCAGGAGTCCCTATGAATAAAAAGAGATTTCGAAAAATGTTGATGCCTGTTATTTGTAATTCTTAATAAAAAGGTGTTGTTTTATTAATTTTGGTGTGTATCTTGTACTTTTGCAGTTTCCACTTTCAGTTGTGAGGTGGATTTATTTAATTTTCTTAAAACAATTCTCATCACATTTGAATGTTTGGTACCTGATGTCTTAGATCGGACGAATAAGATTATATTATATGTGTGTTTTACTTGGTAAGTCCAACTCATTTTACCTACATACAAAATTATTACCGATTACAGAATTTCGCGAATAAAAAAACTATCTCAAGTTTATATGAAACAGGGTTAATAACTCGTGTGACCTCCGAGTTCAACACAAAATCATCTTGAATTGATTTCTTTGTATCTTTTGACATGATAAATTCACAATAATGTATAGCAGACGGGAGAAGATATTGGCAAATATTCAAACGTAATCAATGATTTAAAGATGTTACAACATTGGTCATTAATTAATGAGGTTATCGGTCTCGCAATACATACGTATCTCACTAAAACAAATTTCCAAAGTATTTCCTGAAATCTACTATACTGTATTCAGTAGAATAATTCTTTCTGATGTCTGATAAAACACTGATTTCGTAAAGAGCACCACAACGTGAACATAAAATAAAGATTGACGAAGTCTGTGAAATGTAAATTTTATGGGATAAAGGAATATATAGCTTGATATAAGGGACATACTACCTTACGTTCAACTAGTACAACACGATAGATAAATAAATAAAAGGAAGAAACCAGTGATGACACAAGACTATTTTGTTCTCAGAATAATTATCGATGCTCATTTTTGAAGAGCCTTCTATGCTTAACGGGTCGTTGTCACAGATTCAAAACGCAATATTGCAAAACATCAGAAGCAGAAAATGTTTCAGCATCTTTAAGAAACTTTTAACATATTTTACATTTTAAAACTTGCCATTCGATAAAAATATAAATCAACACATTCAATCACGAATTGTTAAACAGTGGCAAGTATGACAATAAAACTGATCCTCATTTTGTAACAATACAATCCTATGTAATATAGCACATCTTTCTTAATCTGCGTACTGTTTCGTAGGTTTTACGTGAACCCACTCTTTTAACATGCAAACGGTAAAATAACGAAATCTTCTTTTATCAATCTTTGACACCTCGGGCTTTCCAAGCATTTTGTGTTTGTGAAGGAGATTTTGTTTTGTTTGGGTTTGTTTGGATAAATAGGGTTTAACATCCTATCAACAGCAAAGGTCATTTAAGGACGAACCTCCGTATGTATCATAAATGCGTGCATGGGTGTATGAGTGCTGGTTTTTATTTGGACAACGGAAGTGAAGTACGTTGTCATGCTCAGTGGTATTCAGGTCACATTTACTCAAAGTCGAAATCGAGGTCAATAGACATGGCAGCCATTTTCTCCTTAAATACAGCATCAAATGTCTCGTTCTGCTGCACTGTCAGTGTTTCTTTCCAATCTCCGACAATACCTGTAAATATCAAAATATATGTTTGCTTTCAAAAAATACAAGACTCAATCAAACTTAGTCCTTCGCATATGCACAATTATCAACATTTTAAACGAGCTTTGCAATAATGTGAAATCAAAATGGTAGTGTATTATTTATTATTTTCTGCTAAACATTCAGCTATAAAGGAAATGGTTGGTTGGTCGGTCGGTTGTCCTCCAGCACACATATGCACAGCATGCTTACATGCCACACATTGAGGCACGTCCTTAAATGACCTTAGCTGTAAATAGGACGTTATAAAACACACAAAAAAACCACAAAAAACAAGCCTCTCAGTACAATGGTTAATGACTGTGTGATAACTAACTTATCTAATCAGTCCATTTAAAAAAAAATACTTTTAAAGCAGAACGAAAACGAAATATATATATAACTTTATGCTGATTGGTTCCAAGGAAATTATAAATACATCTAAATCTAAAATATCATTACGGTATAACTTGAATTAAACTTGCAATCATTTCGATCGACATTCATTTTACAAGTACTACCTTTTCGATAAATTGGAAGTCTCCCATCCTTGATCCAAGTTGAACATTTTGTTGTTCCTCCTTTTGGTGTATCATGTTCAATTCTCAGGTTGTCAAACGACACTGCATGTTCCACCTGCCTTAGAAATTTCTCATCGTGGTCTACTTCAAGGAAATTTGCCAATTTGACAATATTTGGAAATAAATCCTAGAAAGATAATTAAAAAAAAAGTATATAAAATAAATTGCACCATAATATTCTTACTATAATTATATAAAATAATATACTTTATTTTTCCATGAACTGTAGAATTTGTATACAGCAAGGTTACTCGTGAGCTTATAGTTTTCACAAATCGGGGTTGTATGAAAGGCGCATTAAACAGTGCCCTTGTCTTTCACCATGATGTCCGGGGTTCGATTCACAGATCGTGCGTGAAAATGTATCTTTTCAAGTAATCCGGTTTCTTCCTACATCAAGATCCTCTGCGCGCTTCCGTCAGGGCCGCCACAAGTGATAGAAGCTGGAAAATATTTGTTTCATCGCAAAATATATGAAGTTTATACTGCCAGGTTGCTTGTGTACCGAAAAAGAGTGTACAGTATATTTTCACAATCAGAACGAAGAGTTCATACCCGTTTTAAATTCTCGTATCGTAGATTCAGACAATTAAGATTAGGATTCATCTTCTTGGCGCTTTCCCATTCCTTTACATGAGTAAACCACGAGGCTCCACACGTGGGAACTAAAATAAAAGGAAAAAAATATGGAAATTCCAATAATTTGGTTAGTTTATATGATTGATGTTGTATTTGCCTGTGTCTCGCGTCATATTAATATTTAAGCTTATCGTTTAAATGTGTTTTACTATCGATGATTGGTTTGCTTTTATTTTGTTGAATGTCCTTTTAACAGCTAAGGTCATTTAAGGATTTGCCTCATTTTTTACGCAAAATCTAAATGTCTACATACTTTCATCCGACAGGAAGCATTTAAGCAATCCGTTGAAATCTCCTTTATACAGCTGGTTGTCAATTTTTTTCTGGTATTCGTAAAGAGAACACACCACATCCTTAGGATTTCTCGAAACTTTGACCACTTTAGCCTGTCCTTTCTTCACTTCTTCAGGGATGAATGGGTAGGACAAGTGGGTTCCGTAAGTTCTCTTCGAGTTCAGTTCACTCATAAGTGATAAATCGTCGAATTCAAGCAGAAATGGTGATCCATGGTACTCGAGAGATTTGTATCGCAGCATCAGGATCATGTTATATACCCAGTGAGTACCTACGATGACATAAAATGTAGGTTATACTATAACAACACGACTAAGGAAGGAGGCTTCTATTGTATAACACGAAATGTTCGTGGGTACTTTCCTTCGTGGTTTGAAGCCGTTTAGACCGTTTAGTGGTACAAACTTTCGTGGATATCCTATATTAACAAACAGTAGACACGTATTTCATCCCAATTCGTTCGATTTGTTTACGAGGTTCAATAGCAATCACAAAAAACACGAATGATTATACACAACGAACATTTTATGCGATACATTATTATGCAACGCGTTCGAATTCCTTACAAAGTGCTAACAAGCTTATTTTTTACCTTTCAGCCTTGACCGATTATTAAAATCAAATCCGTCGGTCGAACACAAGCATTGACACATCCAATGAACTACTCTATACCCTATCCATTATTTCTGAGTTATAACTGGTTTTAAAAGGCTCAGCAAAACATGAAGCCCATTGCATGGCACGCGCTGTCTTAAATGCGTGAAAAACAAAATTCATTATGTTTTCATGAATTGTTTTCCGTTGTCAGGAATATGTAAACCTCTTTTGTTATAAGAATAACTTTTGCAGGTATTTTCAAGCTTTTATGGAAAATCAATGAAATATAATGCCAGAATTGCATAGAAAAATAGAAAAGCATCCAACAATGCTAATTTATGTTAATATGTCTTATCTACCATTTTATTCGTGTCGTTTTTGTATCTTCATTGGAAACCTCAAATCAAGTTTAAAATTTCTTCTTGTTTTTTATGGATACTTACAATAGAGGTATACGATTACACATATGTATACTAATACGTATTTGAAAGAGGGGGGGGGGGGGGGGGTCATCATTCATAAATGTTGGTAAAATAGTATTAACTTTTCCGTTCAAATAAAGACTGTGAATAACAAGCTCTAATATTATCACGATACGTATGAGTCATCATTAACAGAATATTTGGTGAGTCCGTAAATGGTGCAATGTACCTTATTATACACGACTTACTACAGCTGAGCGTGGGTGTCAAAACGAAGCGATGGATTCCGCTCATTATTTTATATACTGACATGTAAAAAACTAAAAACCAGCAAGCAAGCAATTTCCAACGCCACATTTCCCGACCTTGGCTACATTATGTCGTTATGGCCAAGTGATTTAATTAACGATTAACAACTTTGTTTACAGTGACATCATGATGCTCTCCGCCACACGTTTCCCATTTGTCACTTGTATACATGTAAATACCAATTTCCAATAACAAACATTATTCTAAAATATATTTCATCAATTTTTTTGTAATGCTTCTGCAACTATTTATTGTTTATTAACACTTATAGGTAACGTATCCAAGAGCCTAAGCAGTACATAACTTATTAATAGACACTTTGATCATTTCTTTCAAATGTTATGCAATATAGTTAAAAACATGTACACTCTATCGATTGATAAGTAACTTCAATTGCATAATAGCAATGTAGCAACTGTTCAAGGTCATTCCCCCCTATTACACATATAAGTATCACTTAACTATTGCATTTACACAACACAAAAAGCAGTGAAAAAAACATTGATTGATAAATTTATTAAAAAGGACAATAGTGGAAGGGAGAAAACTCTCGCATATACGAAGTTAATGTACATTAAGAGCCTTATTCCATCAAAATATTAGTAATACAACCTCATGTAAGCAATTACAGGTATCTTATTCCATTTCACTCGTATGATCCCCTGAACATGATATCAAGGTTATGCACTAAAACACATGCCACGGAAATGTTATCAAATTACAATATGTTTATTGCCGATAATACTTAATCTGTTGTTTTATTAATTCCATATTAATATAGCTTTTGTTTAATAAACTCATTTAAAAAAAAAAAGATAAACTATATAACAAAGACATGAATATTCATTCTTTTATATCCAAACAGATAAAAAATCACAAGCTAGGTTATCAGACTTAAATTTCAAAATGTATCTCTTGTCATCAACTCGACTCCATGTGTATAGAAAGTTTTTGCTTGGCTGGATAGACATCAAAGCACGGATTTGTTTCGTTTACAGCAATACAACAGCTGTTTTAAATTAAATCAATCGTTAAAAATGTTATATATATACGCATAGTGCATATTCCCAACATTTACAAACCATGGATGCTCCCACCTTATCCGTATACCTTTTCTTATAAGTTAACCTATAAACAACTACATATATGGTCATTAGTCATTAAAGGACATGCCAGGTTTTTGTGGTGGATGAAAGCGGGAGTTCCCAGAGAAAAGCCACTGACCTACGGCCAGTACCTGGCGACTTCCCCACGTAGGTTTCGAAACCGCGATCCCGTGGTGGAGGGGTTGTGGTAGCAGAATGTCCGACGCCTTAACCACTTGACCAGTCACGAGCATATATAGTTATGATCGGAAAACCTTGTTAAAAGATCCTTCAAATATAACGTCAAGAAAACGAGAAGTTATTATGTATTATGTTACTGCACAAAATATGTTTTTTACTCTTACCTGATTTGGGGTATGAACACAGCAGTACATCGTCTTCTAGAACGCTGAATGAAGATATATTGACAAGGGTGTCGGTAATATTACCAACCATTGAAGGGTGAAATCTCCTTCCCTTATATTGTTTGAAAGACATGGCATTTCCATTGTCATCGACCACAGTCGAAACATCCATCTTCGTGACTTGTTGACAACAAACCTCTGTGCCAAATTCAAATTAATCAACACAAATACTCAATTGTAAGTTTTAGCTTTCGATGTTTAGCCTGCACGACTATGCGGTATGCAATTACAATGTCACATTTGCTTTGTTATATACAACACTTATATTAGGTCGTGCATATTTTGTCTACGTGACATCTGTCTCTCTATATGTTAATCACTTTTCAAACTAGAACCCCAGTTCACACATTAACCTAGTGGTTTACTACTTTTAACATATCCTTTCTCCGGCACACATACACATAAATACATGGCGGCACGTCCTTAAATGACATAAGCTGTTGATAAAATGTTAAGGTATTCCATACAGGCTCATGTCAGTGTCTAGTTAGCTTCATGAATTATTATAAAATATCCAATGAAAGTACATGCCATCATTCCCTGCATTTTAATTTTCAGGAATGCATGTACAGGTAAGTAATTTCATGCATTATAATATTCAATACAATTTTGCGCCACTAAAATTCTGCATTCAAAAGTTGCTTTTCAGACAAAATCAAGATAATTTTCGACAAACAATATCTGCAAAAGTCATTATTGACATTGTTCTTGACATGGGTATACCAACCAACTTCCATATTTTTTTTTTCATTTTGAGGAAAGTTATGAGCCCCATCACATACTATATACACTGACCTGGACCTGTTTGAAATACCTTAAACAAAACCAAAAAAAAAAGTAATCTTTCTCCTCTGATTTTCTTAAGGTTTGGTTCGAAATTCATTTTTGAAGTAATGAAAGAGATACGGCGGGAAGCTATGCCTATTTACCTTAAGGTATGATCTGCTAGTACGCGCGTGTCACCATGTACTGATATGACCCGTCCTCAGGTAATTGTATACAAGTAGCTCTATCGGTATCCTGTATCTAAGAATAGATCAACGTAAACAAACGAATGTAAGGCCATGGCTAGTAATACATGTGTTTCAAGATACAGACTCGTCAAAATACGTCTTACGCGTTATTTATATTAATTTAAAACCAATCACACGCTGTATACAACACAATATCGGACAATCATTACCAACAAGTTTTGAAAGGTGTTAATTTAATTACTACTGCCTGTGTCATGCCGTTACCTGTTTTCTTACAAAACACACATCTTGATTTTGTTCTCCTGCACCTTTGAATGGCAAAATTACATATATTTTTACTCTGCGGCAACACATCCCATATATTTTGTATTTCGGCATCATGTGTTTGTGTTTGGATAATAAATACAATTACAAATTACCTATTGGAGGGTAAAACAATTCATAAATATAATTTGAAATTGTTTCTACAAAACGTGTACATGATTTTGTTGACATATTTACATAAAAGATAAATCAATAGGTATGGTATTAAAATATGGATCATATGTTCCATTGATTTAAAAATTATACATTAAGAAAAAAGGTCACATGCCTAAAAGTAAAAATAATAAATAACTTCATAACATATGTTTTTGTTGCTGTTACTGTATTGTTACGCGGCCCATTGGCAATGCGAGATCATTTATGGCCAAACAACACTGTACAATGGACATTCACGAAAATGAATACACCGAACTAGAAAGATTATAAGATGTACAAATGTGAAAATATATCAACAGAGGACGAATTGATTGTAAAATAAAACAGATGTTATTATAAAAAATAATTTAGTGTACATTTTATATTGTATGCACAGAAACTTTTCAAAGATGATACATTATAGAATCTGTCACATTATATAAAGTGTTACATTATGCCACTTTGAAATGAGCGACTGGTATATTCTTTACTAACATAACAAGTGTATTGGGGGAAATAAGTTCTATAAGATCACGTACTGCGTTACGAAGATCATGTTTGTTTTTGATATGCTCATTATATGAAATTAGATAAGGCGTTAAAACACTGATTTCATTTAATTCTATGCTGTTAATTAAATTCAACGTCCTCTTTACAGGTAAGGTCATCAATAACGTGTCTTCACGTGCATAATTAACACAACTTTATGAAACATGCATGATATTAAAATAACTGCTTTTGCCCTTACGTAAGGAAAATAATTATCTTGTTTCCGATTATCTACTTGGTCATTCGTTACACTATAGGAGGGTTCATAGTCTTTATCTGTTAGTAGGACGCTAAACCAAATAGATCAAACCAAATATCTTCCTTGGTGCCGATGGCGATATATGACGAGGACGTTTTAACTCGAAACATACAATTTTTCCCCGATTCTGCTGATTTTTGATTTTGATTTGGTTTAGTGTTATTTTGTTTATAATTTTTGGAGCAGCACTTTGAGAAAGTATCAATAATGCTACAATTAATATTAAATTTACAAACTATAACTCAAAGAGAGTAATTTTAAGTTAACATATGTCACTACGTTTACAACATATGTCCCTAATTTACAATTTATTTCCATTCTTTGATTTATTAACTATGTATGAGATACCACCATCGTTAATTAAGTACTAAAATGAAAAATGAAATAATAAGCGAATCAATACTACAACTTGTGTTGTTTAAGATTCATTCCGTTCCTTCTCTATCAAGTTGCGTATCTTTCTGGAAAACATCATGCAATGTTATGATAATTATACATGACCATATGTCTCCCAATTTACAATTCATATATGTACTGCTTTTATTCATTACTGGCGTGGAATTAATCTATTGAGTTAGTTTAGCTTTACAAGGTATGATGTCCTAATAACACCTAAGCTCTGCTTAGGCTACCAATCGTATTTTGGGACAGAATAAATAAACCACCTGATAGTACCCAATGCATATGATCATGAGACGACTTATGTAGATACCCCCTGCAGTGTTAGGGATTCGCGTTTTTCCATTATACTTCGGGAAACAATTGCAACCAAAATAAATCTGCAATATTTGGAACCATTTTGTTTGTCTCTAGCTCTAACTACATTTTTATATTCTAGCGCCTTGCTTGGTAATACTTAACTTTTGGCTCCAAATGTTGAGCGTTCGCCCAGGTGTGGAATGAAATGGGTTCTGACCCCAGGCATGGGCATACCAAAGTCCTTTAAAACGGAAGTTGCTTTTCCCTGCTTAAGATTTGGCAACAACTTGTTCAGCAAATTTCAGTATAATGTGACCGGGCGGAATGCTGTGCTGGGTGATTTCGTCGTTGTATTAAAGTGAAGTTGCATATAAAGTCGGCATCAGATCCACGCATTCGCAAGGAGGCAATGGCACACACATATCATGTCTCTAGCACACATACACACATGCATTACATACATGTCCTTACATGATCCTTGCTGTTGATTTGACGTTAAACCTTATGAAACAAAATCAAAGCATTTTTTATCACTTTATTAACCTGTATCGTTAATTGTGCGAGAGAGAGAGTCATATAAAAAGATTTCCAACATCTGTTGATATATATCACCATTTCAATTATTAGCCTCTCTCGATGATCGGATCACAGAATTGAATATTTACGATGCAACACATTAAAGGGAATTTAAAGTTTCGGTTATTTTAATATTTTAATATGCTTCAGATACTCTTCAAGCGTGGGATTGATACAGCTTTATACACACATTTAAATCGGATTGCGCCAAATTTAAACAAATGCATAATAAAATTGTACTGAAACAACTTTGATTTTTAAACTGTTTTTAGCAACTAATACATTTCTTTTTCGCATTCAGTCAATTTGTACGAAACTTGTGCAGATTCCGGTAAAGAATAGGCATAATGCTTCCCGTTGTATGGTGGTAAGAGGTGATTAATGTGCAGTCCTACCATGATGAATCGGGGACAATTTCTTCCTTGTCTTTTGCTTATCGAAGTTGAATGTAGTACATACGGAACACAGGGGAAGTTATGTTCAAGATATTTGTTGTGTGAACGTTTTTTTAAGTGTTGATTGACACTTATTTTCTTTTAATTGTCGATGAACTGTAAAACAATACAAACAAATAAACAAAGAATACTTAATAACTGTCAAGTAATATTTTAGAGCTATTTGAAATTGCGCACGAGTTTAAAATGAAAAAGCGTTTTAATTTTAATCAAAACGACATGCAAAAATTTGAGGTGCGATAAAGAGATTATCTTGATTTCAGGCAATAAGCCAAAAAGAGTTGCGTCTCTTTGTACACTGCTGGCCGTAACCATACGATATCGTTGCGACTTTAATTGATATATGGCAATATATAGATTAAATTATGCAATTGTAATAGGATAAATGTTTTTAAAACGAAACAGTGTGTACCTATCCCCATGTTTCCCGTAACGTTGCTTTTTTCTTTTGATCTTTGGCATAACCAAAATGTTTGTGCTTCTCCTCAGTACAAAACTGCAAGTTTCCCATCGCAATCCATTCGGGTTTTTTTCTCGACACTTTTTGATTGTTTTCAATGTTTTGCTTTTTTTAAAATTCTGTTTCGTCCCTTGACCCCTTTTCATTCTCTTTGTTTGATGATTACATTTCACCTGCTGTAACTTGTATAAGTCTGTATAACCGCTTGAAAATACATACAAGATGCTCTTTGCCAAAAATAATGTTATCTGACAATAATCATTAACATGTATTCTTGTAACAAAATGCATCACAGCAAGATGATGTATCACGAGGTTCATATTAATCCTATTCACGGTACCGTACTGTATATTACGTAGTCACTTGACCTGGCAGGACGCAGCATTAACCCCTTTTGGCAAAATTCATCAAGCGCTTGTGTTCATTGTTAGTTTATTCTTGGATTCTTAACGGCCAATCAACACAAAAGAGTTAATTAGGGCCAATAGAAAGTAGATAAATCATGTTAAAGGAATGACATCAAACGAACGTTAAGCACAAACAAAAACGTCGACCATGGCTAGTAATATTTATTTGAATATGCCAACATTTTTTAAGGTAAGTTTGGTTTGGTTTTATTTTGTTAACCGTCCTACCACCATCTAAGGTAATTAAAGGAAGTGCCTTCATGAGACAGGGTATGGTGGTGGGTTTGCCTCCTTGTGATAGCGCGGTTCTAATGCCGATTGTATAGTGTTACCTCACTTAAATACCATACCGAAGGCACCCGGCAGAGCATTTCGCCCGATCACATTTCGCTGACAACGGATGAACCAGTTGTTGTCATTCATTTCTATGCAGAACGTAGGACAGGCAATAACAACTACTATTATTAAGGACTTTAGTATATCCCGGCCTGGGACAGAACCCATTATCTTCCTAACGTGGGCGAACGCTCAATATTAAACCAAAAACGAGAAAGAGATTTGAGATATATTTAGGAAATAACAGTCTTGTTCTCGTTATATATTCCACCACAATACACGCAAGCACGTTAACTATTACTATTCTACAACTACGTCAATTTGACCTTGCAGTCTTGTTTTGAACTTCCCGCTCATGTTAAGCCACCAACACTGATGATCAGCTTGATGAAACCATGGACTGAACCACATACTGTGCAGCAAAATACAGACTTGGTTGGAACAATACTACTACTTTGCATATTTCTCCATTGTAGAATATGTTTGACCCTATTTTCGGACGCAAAGGCGTTGAACTATATTTGGAGGTTGCCATGTTTGAAACAGACGATAGTTTGTATTTACTTCTGGCTAGTGACGTGTAATGTTACGTTACTGATTTGAAGTACTTATCCGTAGGGTGTTGATAGCGACAGCCAAAAATGTATACATGGTTATGGGTAAGGGATCTTAACTGTTTCAAAAATATGGCCCAAAAATTAAGTGCCTTTGGGTAGGGCCAGACCCAAGAGTCAATACTAATATCATTGATTGTGTTCGTCTGTTGTTGCCATGCACTGGTATATGCAGTTATAGGTTGATGTTCTCAACCGTTTCAAAGTTATGGCTCATAAATCAAGTCCCTAGGGTAATATTTTTCAACATGACTGTTTGTCTCTGGTTACAAATTGGGAAGAATGCATTGAAATGTTGAGTGGCATTCGAGTCTCATTTACTCAAAGTCGAAATCGAGATCAATAGACATGTCAGCCATCTTCTCCTTAAATACAGCATCAAAAGTCTCGTTCTGCTTAACCGTCAGTGTTTCTTTCCAATCTCCGACGATTCCTGTAAATATCGAAATATTTGATTATCGTTTCAGAAAATACAATAATAGTGATTTTTAGTGATACAAGGCGATTTTGATAAATAATTGTTAAGATTGTTTTCAGCACGACACCTGTGTTATTACATTGCTCTCGACACCGCCATGTTCTGGAGATAATTAAACCTACTGTATTGCCAATGTTTCTGCTTTCTATAGGCATTAGTGTTGAATATGGCCCTGTATGTAACTGTTTCAAAGACAAAAGTCGGGGGGNATGGGCTAAAACCACTTAACATATTAAAACACTGATGACATGTTTATGGTGTCGTGCAAAAGTGTTTTTGCTATGACAGGTCGTTAAGTCGGCACTTTAAAATAGTCCGTTGATCCAGTCACCGTCAATATATATGTATAGTTGCTTTGTAAAAGACGTAAACCTTCGCAAAGCGAGCAAATATTGCTGCGAAAAAAATACTGAGAAAAGTCTTGCACATCACCGGTGGTTAAATTACTATATTGCTGATTTGATGTAAGTATTGTTTTGGTAAGGTTTTCACGTCTCCTAACAGCTTAGGTCATATAAAGACATATTCTTAAGGCGAAACCGCCAAATGGAAAGAGTAGAAAAGTGGGTTTTTTTTGTTTTTTTTATATATATATCTCATATTGCATTTGAGATAGCTGATCATTTTTGTTTCGTTTCTTCGACGTCCCCTTAACATGAGACACGAAAGAAAAAACTCGATTATGAGGGGATCTTAACACTAGTCGCTTCTTACGACACGCAGTGAGAAAAAGCAAGCCTAAATTTAAAAAAAAACATTAATAATATATATGACATTTAATGACAAGCAAAAATTGCAAAGCCAAAAGTTCCGGAGTTAAACAATTTTGTTTTCATCGATGCATCATAAAGACATCATTTTCATCTGCGGCGAAAAAATACCGAGAAAAAGTCTTATCCACTGGTGGTTAAATTACCATATTGCATCATGAATAAATAATGTTCATCTGTTTGGCTGTGGTGAATAAATGAATGTATCGAATTATTCAATACCATTACGGTATGATTTATATACAACTCTCATTCAACACGTTCAACACAGATGTTGCAACTGTTACCTTTTCGATAAATTGGAAGCCTCCCATCCTTGATCCAAGTTGAATATTTTTTGGTCCCTCCTTTTGGTGTATTATGTTCTCTTCTCAGGTTGTCAATGGACAAAGCATGTTCTACCTGCCTTAGAAATTTCTCATCGTGGTCGACGTCTAGGAACATTGCCAATTTAACAATATTTGAAAATAGATCCTAGTAAGAAACAAAACATAGTAAAGTTAGTCGCATGCAAAATTTACACATTATTTTAGAAACTTGCTTCAAGAACAAACATGTAATAAATGCTATTTTTTTGTATCCAAATATCAAAAGGAATTTATTTTTGTGTATAGTATTTGTTTAAGTTGGTTAAGTTCACTTGCGACAGCCAGGGTTGTATGAGGGCGGATGTCTGGAGAAACAACGCCTAGAACAGAAAAAAGACAGGAAAGAAAAGAGAATTTAAAGTGATGCAATGGTGGCAGAATATAAAGTTTTGTACTGTCCATGCCCCTTCATAAAAGATCAGAAAGAACCTATTCCTGATTCTTAGTGTACCACATGCTTCTCCTCTTAAGATAACTTTTGTGTCTTTGAGCTATAGAAACCATGGGTCTGTTCGTTGATGCAGAACAACCGCTAAGTCATTTTTTAATGAAATATTTTATAAATCCTTCAAATGTTTATTCAGGCATTGCAATGCTTTATCAAAGCTAGCCTAAAAGCAGCATCAGATTACTAGGTCCGACCTTACTTCATAAAAGAACAACCTTTGTTGAACCGTTTGGATAGCGAAAAACGAAAGCGGATTATTTGTACACAAGGAAGGTTGCATATCACAAAAGTGCACATTATACATACATGATAATCTAACATTGGAAGAGATAATCCATACCCGTTTTAAATCCTCGTACCGTAGACTCAGACAATTCAGACGAGGATTCATCTTTTTGGCCATTTCCCATTCCTTTACATGGGTGAACCATGAAGCACCACATGTGGGTACTGGAAAAAAGAAGCACGAAAAAAATATATTATACTAACATCTCCAGAAAATGAAAGTCACACAGTTGTTAGAATCTATATTTGTTCTGTTTCTTACTATTTCTCGGTCCATCGACATTGCTAGGCATGTATGGCTAAACAACACAATAAAATAGGCAATCACAATAATGAAAACTAGAAATAAAAAGGTTGAAAATGTGTAAAGCAATTATGGTACAATTAAATTTATATACTTGTTCATATTAAAGTATATTTTTCATTTATTGAAGAATATTATCAGAATACGTAACGATGGTTGAAGGAAAAGAAAAATTAGCAAACAATAAATATGTGTTAGCACACTACACGATATGTTGGCTTTTACTATCTCTCAGATAATACTTTTAAGAAATTGTTTGTCATGTGTTTCTCAAATTTTGTACACAAGTACTCCATGGGATCAGATATGGAATGGAACTTTGTTTTTAGATTTGAAAAACAATGTAGCTGTCTGGTAGTTAACACTTATTGTATGATCAAGGCAACATATGTCAACGTTATCCCCCCGATAGAGTGCCATCCTGTTGTGAAGAATGACTCCATACACGAGACAATGATTACTGAATATTTACTTTCCGTATGCTTGGACCCATTGACGAAAATGACATGCATTTTTGCATAGCAGAGATGACCTCATCACTGCGTATTGTTGCGTAGCACAGGCCGTACTTGGTTCACGTCTATCGTGATACAACCCTCGATATAGATTTGTTATTCTTATATGAATTAACATTAAACACAATTGGTTTGATCTTAAAGCTAAAATAATGTATAAGGTATGTAAAGTACATGATACTAGTATACGATTTGTATAAGTTCTACAAATTCAATTTTGAAATACATGTTGTTTGTTTTGTAGTGATGCTGTTGCCAGGGCCCCTAGTGAATGTTTTATATTTTCCCAGAAAAAAACACGTGTTCCCTACTGCGTTGCCCCTTGTATAAATAGGGAATGACTTATGCTTTCATCTGACGTTTCGAAGCACTTAAAAATACGCGCACTTTATTGAATATGTCTAGAAACTCAATGTTGTTATGACCACATGCATGTTGAAAAAATAAATTCAGTTCCTTAAGTATTAAGTTTAATGCATAATGCTAACACTAATAGGTGAGTAACTATCAGCAAAAAAACTGCCATACCTCCATCTGACAAGAAGCAGTTCAGCATTCCGTTGAAATCTCCTTTATATAGGCCATTGTCAAGTTTTCTCTGGTACTCGTAAAAAGAACATAACACATCCTTAGGATTTCTCAACACATGTATCACTTTGACGTTGCCCTTTTTTGCTTCTTCTGGGATGAATGGGTAGGTCAAGTGGGTTCCGTACGTTCTGTTCGAGTTAACTGATGTCAAATTGTCGAACTCGACCATACAAGGTGATCCATGGTACTCGAGAGATTTGCCTCGCAACATCTGGACCATACTATGTACCCAGTGTATACCTACAATGGAAAATGTTGTAATTGTAATAGGACAGGACAGCATTATTGTCAATAAATGACCATAACAACATGTTTAATAACAGCAATCAAACGAAGCAGTGAAAGACAACATCAACGTGAAAATTGAAAAGAAGTTAATGGTATGCATGCATGTATCTTGGGGATCAGTTCAACATTTTCGAGGTAGTCGAGAGTTAGAAAATATATTAACTCATTTGAAAATATATTCAGACTTGTTTTATAAATTAACAGAGTTGTCTTATGTTCGCTGAAGGTCAATCTAATTTACGGTGAATGATTGGTGACATGCAGTACAGCGAGGCTGGTCTTACGTTTTAATATAGTAGTGGGTGTGCTTTGGGGGCCCCACAATAAAAATATTTCTGTCAAAATGCCTTTTGTCTGGTGTCAGGGCCAGATGAAACTCAGGCTAGTCTTCGCGTTACAATGAATACGAGTTATTAATGTAGGGACAATGGTTATAGTAATGATTAAGTGCACATATTACGATTTTAACTCTTACCTGATTTCGGATATGAACACAGCAGAACGTCGTCTTTTAAAACGCGTAATGAAGATATATTGGCAAGGGTGTCGGCAATATTACCAACCATTGAAGGGTGAAATCTCCTTCCCTTATATTGTTTGAAAGATATGGCATTTCCACTGTCATCGACCACAGTCGAAACATCCATCTTCGTGACTTGTTGCCAAAAAACCTCTGTCCCAAATGCAAATAAATCTACACAAATACTAAGTTGTATGTCTTAGCTCTTAATATTTAGCCTGCACGACTTTGCGGTATGCAATTACAATGTTACATTTGCTTTGTTGAGTTATATACACCACTTATATTAAGTCGCGCATATTTAATTACGTGACATATGTCTCTCTTCATGTAAATCACTGTTCAATGATAGGCTAAACGTTTGTGTTGTTTTACATGCTACATGTACGTTGATTTTGAATGTGGTCATCAAACTAGAACCCAGTTCACACATTCACCTAGTGGTTTACTACTTTTAACATAACCTGTCTCCGGCACACATACACACATGCACGCTTACAAACCACACATGGAGACACGTCCTTAAAACAAATCTTAGCTGTTGATAAGATGATAAAAAACACAAAAAAAAACCACGGCCGTTTTCGTTCATTTCAATCCAACCGGTTGAACCAAAGTTGTTCGTTCATTAAAATTGGTCGGACCTAGTACAGTGTAATATGATAATGCTTCAAGGCTTTCGAAAGTTTTTGTTCCAAATGAAATTTTAAGGTAATGAAAGAGCTATGGCGGGTTGCTTTGCCTATTTTCCCAAAATTATAATCCGCTAGTGCACGCGTGCCACCATGTCCTGTTATTATTAGTATTACTATTAAATGCGTAACGGCCCATCAGCACAGGATAGGTAATTAGGGCCAACAAGTGGTCGAGAAAAAAAGCATCAAACACACTTGAAGGTTAAAAGACAAACGTCAATTTGAATGTTGCAAGTGGCTATGATGTCTCAAATTGTATTCAAAAAGCTTTCAAAAAGCCTACAATTGAAGAAACAGTTATATTTTTAAAAAGAGATTTAAGATGTGATGTTATTAAAGAAATTTTCTCGAGTTGACTTTAAGTCGATGCAATATAACAAGTAGTGTTTTACTGTAAATGGTTCCTGACACGCTATGCATTGAGGCTGGACATCACGTTTAAGTAAATTGCAATGGGTAATGTATGAATGACCTATCTGAAGACGGGCAAGGACAACCTCGTCTCGGCGCCTCTCTCTGTAGCTTGGATGTCATTCACCGATTTAAAGCTTAATATAATGTATTTTTTTATCTACGCATTGATTCAAATCATTCTGCATTTGTGATCTTAGGAATTTTGTAATTAGTGGTTTAAAATCAGTAAAATGAAGTTTAAAATCTTCGCGTGGTAGTAATAGTGCTGCTTTCGTAATTTTTATACAGGTATCTCTATCGGAATCCTGTGTCTAAGGGTAGATTATTTTAAACAGACGAATTTAAGGCCATGACTAATAATACCTGCGTTTCACGATAAAGAATCAACAAAATGCTAATTTAGCGTTATTTAAAACCAATCATACGCTGTATGTAACACACAGTCGTACAATCAATACCAACAGGTATACGTGTTAATTTTCATTACTACTGACTGCGTCATGCCGTGACCTGTTTTCTTACAAAACACATGTTATTTTTTTGTTATTCCTGCAGCTGTGAATGGCAAACTTATGTTTTTTTTGACGTAACGAATCCCACAAACTTTGTATTTCGTTGTCATCATGTGTTGGTGTGAAATAACAGATATAATTACTAGTGCCTGTTGGAGGGTAAAACAATTAATAAAGTCCATTTAACATTATTTCTTATCTATAAAGCGTAGCTGTGCTGTACACGTGTACAGGTACTTGCTGACATAATTACATAGACGGCAAATCACTAAGTATATTATTTAAATATAAATAAAATGTTCCAATAATTTGAAAAATATTTTATTACTTCATTAAGGGAAAATATCAACTGCCTAAATATTTAAAAGAAAGCTGGATCTGAACGAGGATTCGAACTTGGACTGTTCACTTTTCTGGTTACAATTTAACTGCGTTACACATTCGGCTACATCGGACATAGACTAATATGGAAATATAAACTTATCTGACTCGATAAACACTTATTGCAGTTTTGAGAAACTTTATCACCCCTGTTTTTCATTATTTTGAGCACTTTTTCAAAGGAGGAGTTTTTTTCGTCATTCGATTTGTTTTTGGATCTTACATCATAAGATAATTATGTTTTGGGTTTCTGTTTTTGTATTGTTTCATGGCCCATTAACAATGCGAGTCAATTAGGGCCAAACAACACTGTCAAAAAATAGGAATTCACGAAAATGAATACGCCAAAATAGAAATAGGAAGGTTATAAGATGTACAAATGTAAAAATACATCAACAGAGGACGAATTGATTGTAAAATATAACAGATTTGATTATAAGAATCACAGAAACTGTATCAAATAAACTTTTCAAAGATGATACAATATAAAACCTGTCACATTTTATGCAGGTTTACATTATACCGACTGATATTCTCTTCAATAACATAACAAGTGTATCGGGGGAAAATAATTTCTATTATATCACGTATTGCGTAGCGACGAACACGAGAATAAGTTATGTAAAATATTGAAAGCCTGTTTTATATGGTCATTTTATAGAGAATAATGCATGCCTTTTTCCATATCACACCCAGTATCAACCAGAGACTGCAATATCAGCCCAAGGGCCGAAGGCCCGAGGGCTGATATTAGTCGAGGGTTGATACTGGGTGTGATATGGAAAAAGTCATGTACTATTCTGTTTATTACATGCTTACTAATAAAAGCTGCTATCTTATGATAAACATTTCTTTTGAAATATTGAAAATCGAAAAAAATATCAAAAGGGGTGTGATACGGGATATGCGGGCTGATACGGGTTTTGGGGCGTGATACGGCGAGGGCTGATATTGGTAAGAGCAATTGTGCCGTATCGCATATACAAAAAACCCGTATTTATTTTTAAGTATACAAGACGTTAAAGCACTGATTTCGTTTGGTTTTATGCTGTTATATATGTAATAGAGTCCAACGTCCTTTTTACAGGTAAGGTCATCAAGAACGTTTCTTTATGTGGATAACTAACAAAGTGTTATGAAACATGCATGATATTACAATAAATCTTCTACCCTTAAGTTAGTAACACATTCGTCTTGTCTTTGTGACTCACTTGGTCATTCGTAACGCACTAGTAAGGACGCTGTTCATTGACCTTATCTGTTAGTAGGACGTTAAACAAAATAGATCCAACCAAAAGTCTTCATTGGTGCTGTAGGCGATATGTGACGAGGTCGATTAAATTCGAAATAATAATTCCGATTCTGCAGATGTCATGGTTTTATTTTGTTTTACGTCCTATGAACAGCTAAGTTAATTCAAGGACGTGCCTCCTTGTGTCTATGTTTGTTTGTTTGTTTGATTTTGTTTAACGTCCTATTAACAGCTAAGGTCATTTAAGGACGGCCTCCCCTGTGTGCAAGATGCATGCGTGTAGTGTATGTGTGTGTATTTTGGAAGGCTGCGATATGTTCGTGTTTGTCTTCTTGTAATAGCGCGGAACTGATGCCGACTTTATAGTGCTACCTCACTGAAACATACTGCCGAAGACACCCAGCAGGACGCCCCACCCGGTCACATTATACTGACAACGGGCGAACCAGTCGTCCCACTCCTAATTTGCTGAGCGTTAAGCAGGAGTAGAAACTACCATTTTTAAAGACTTTGGTATGTCTCGGCCAGGGGACAGAACCCAAAGCCTTCCTCACAGGGGCGAACGCTCAACAAATGGCCAAAAGTGAGGCATTGTCAAGGGAGACATTAGGAAAAAGAAAGTTATTTAGAAAGGAGAGAAGAGATAAGGTCCCAAATTTAGTCGCCTCTTACGATCATGCAATTGGGGGCAGCAGGTACAATTCTTACGCCCTACCTGCAGGGCAGCCTTGTGTCTAGTATATGTGTGCTTGCGTGGGTGAATGCAGGAGACAGGGTACATGTATGTTGGTGTACTTGCCTCCTTGTAATAGGGCAGATCTGATGCCGACTTAATCATTTTTGGAGCAGCCCTTTGAGAAAATATCAATAATGCTACAATTTATATAATTATACAATCTATGAGGTAAATTGAGTACTTAAAGTTGACATGTGTCTCTACATTTACAATGTATGTCCCTAATTTATAATATATTTCCATGTTCTGATTTATTAACTATGTATGAGATGCCACAAACGTTAATTAAAAACTAAAATGAAAAATTAATTAATACTACAACTTTAGATTAAAACTGTTGTTTGAGATTCATTCCTTTTCTTATCTATCAAGATACATACCGTCGCATCGTTAAGATCATTATACATGACCATATGCCGCCAAATTTACAATTCATACATGTATTGCTTTATTCATTACTGACGTGGAATAAATATAGTTATTTGGTTTAGCTTTAACATGTATGACGTCCTAATACATGTAACAGCTAAGCGCTGTTTTAGCTACAAATCGTATTTTGAGACTAAGAAAAGGAAACACCCGATGTTGCACATGCAAATCATCGTAGAAGACGACGTATATGGATACCTCTGCTATTCCCGCTATATGTGGGGAAACAATTTAAAACCAAAATAAATCTGCTTTACGCATTGTAATATTTTTGATCTGTATGTTTGTCTCTAGTTCTAACTACCTTTTATTTCCTAGCGCATTGCTTGGCAATACCTTATTTTTTGCTTCAATGTTGAGCGTTCGCCCAGGTGTGGAATGCAATGGGTTCTGTCCCTAGGCCTACACATACCAAAGTCATTATATATGGTAGTTTGTATTTCCTTCGTAAACTTCAGTATTTAGGGGAAATACCAACATTTTGTTCACTCTCTGTCAGCATAATGTAACCGGGCGGAATGTTGTGCTTGATGATTTCGGCGTGGTATTTCATTGAAGAAGCACTTTAAAGTCGGCATCAGATCAACGCGAACGCAAGGGGGCAAGTGCACAAACATATCCTGTCTCTAGCACACATTCACACATACGTTACCTACATGTCCTTAATTGATATTACCAAAACAGAGAGAGAGAGAGAGAGAGAGAGAG